TCGCACCCGCACGGCTACGAAGCCTCCTTGAGCTGACGCAGCTTCATGGACCCCAGATCCCGATCGTTAATGATACATCATCGTACATTGTGCGCGATTAAGGAGTTCCTAAGTCGCGAGCCAGAGACGCAGAAGGGTTCGCATCTGACCGTACCGCATGGTTCCATAATCTTTCAGTCGGAGATAATGGAGATAACCGTTAGCCTTTGTTATGTCAACCAATCGCATGGATCCGAATCATCAGAATTTGCTCCAGATAAGAGGAAACTTTACCGGAGACCAATCTGCTGTGCGTATGTTGAGTAGCGTTTGCATTGTTTTAGACATCCTCCATGGAGGTGAAAGGTAACTATTTCTCTGGCAGATTATCTCGCAGTTAGATGCAGTTGAGGTGGAGATTCAGGAAGACAAGTTCTGCTCTGACACAGCTGCATATTCTGAGGAGTGGTAAGTGCAGATTGCCAAGGAGTTTGCTGTACTGCTAAGTTGACACTATGCGGCTCCAACTCACCAGTGGACTCTTACTTGTCAGGGAACCAGGCAACAGAGGACAAGCCTCCGCTGGTTCACCCTGTACTTTAAGACCCATTCCTGCTCACCATATTGATCTGACGAGGAAGTCGGGAGCGAAAATGCATCTCAGTATCTCTCTAGTGGGCTCCGAACGACCCGTGTCACACGGTGGTGCGGGGAACAATGGAATAATGGTTTCATACTGGAAAAAGCTGTAGCTTAACAGGTCCCGCAGGACGATCATAGTGATAATTCAAAGTATAAGAAAAATTATCAGCATATTTAGGTTCACACTGGTGTATTCACCGCGGTATTTGCAAGTATAAATCCACCGTAATTCAAGTTATGTTCGATAACACACATGTGTATCCGTTTACACACGCATATATATCCGTTTACACTGATTTCGTGAGGGCTGGAGAGCACAATTTTTGTATGCGTAATGTTATCACTTAATGAACAGCAATCAAATCACATGACGCAGGTGTTGTGATGCATCGTCGAGTCATATTTCAAAATGAGCAGCGTGGGTGCAGGAATAACCAAAGTCGAAAGAGCGTTCCAGGGGTGACAAATTCGAAGAGAAAAATAGTTCCGGCAGCATTCCAGCAGACTGTATCGAGTAGCCAGTTTCAGCTGGTGATCCCTCAAATTTGTGTTGAGGCTTACTTTCAGGTGGCGCCAAGTGTGATGGGGTTTTTCAAGATCTGGAACGCTAGAATGTGGCCGCCCTGTAGATGACGATAACTTCCGCTGTACACTCCTAAAGTTTTCAGTCACACATGCTACGGCAGGTGGAGCATTCCCTTCACATTCTTGGTTGCCGTTCGCGTGCGGTATCCAGTGCACAACGAACGGCAACCAAGAGAGCGAGCAAATTTATTCTGTTGCTAATGGCGAGGTTAAGCCACTGAATTGGGTGCAATCTGAAGTTTTAGGAACGCTGTCTCGGTGTTTGAAAGACTACGAATCCATCAGATGAACACATCGCCAGTTCATGAGAGCTGTACTGTTTCAGTAACCTCACGCAGGACAAATTACATCCCATATGGAGCGACATGACTGGAAACCAAGCGATAGACCGGAGCATGTCGCCGCACCATACAGACGAGGCGGTATCCATCTGGGAACAGTGTGCAAGCTGACAACACCAAGATATCAATGAACTAAGCACGTTAGACGCTGTGGACCATCTGGTTGACAATGAACATCACCCAATATTCGGTGACGATTTCGTTGTATCGCGCAAAACTAATCCTGTTTGAAACTTATAAACCAGCACCGGCAAAAGTGATGGTGATGTAACGAACGCGGTCAATACCGATTCAGCAGCCGTTATTCACCAAAAAAACAGTAATTGTCATGCACGGGACTAACCGCAGTGCAGTAGAGCGTTGAATTTCGATGTGGAAGCGGCGGACTCCCTAGCTGCGTGGCTCAATATAAGCAAACTATTCACCTCATTTGTTCACCGAATTTGGTAGCTTCGTTAGTTGTGATTTGCAGGGTGCAATCCTGCACTGAGGATGCTACCTCGCATGCTGATGAAACACTTGCAACCAACCTGCCAAGCACGGTGAACAAATGAAAAGCTGAATCGTCAACTCGAGCTACCAGTTTTCTGAAACATTTTAAAGTATTCACTGTAAGTCATGGTTCACACATGGTTGGCGGCATCCGGTTTCGAATTTGCCTGTCACTGTGACCAGCCACAGGACGCCTGTGCCTACACAGGGACCATGGGTGGCTTGCGCTGCACCACCTACAGCTGCATCCACACACCCCATATCCAGTGTAAACCCGAAGGAATAAGACCTGGAGGTATGTGGATGGGAGCCACGTTTCATCAACGGAGCCGGCTCACACTTCTTCACAGGCAAACAAAAGCATGTTTCACACCTACATACCTAATTTCGTGTAATGATCACAGTGAATAAACGGTGTTTAGGAGATTCATCTCGGCCAATTCTCAGTAAAGCAGCTCCTCCACCCGCAAAAGTCGGGTGGCCATTGCGTCCTGTTGGGAGTCGTTAGCAGTGCGCACTTTCCAGGAGTAAAGCCTACATACTGTGCGTTCGCAATTCAGAGCCTTATGCAACAGGCCTTAAGTAGCGACGACAGACCTATTACGAACTGTGATATTGTGCGATTCATCCTCCCCCGGCATTCCCTGTTCGAACGTGCGTTCAGAACTACAACGGTTACCATGTCCCTAGAACTATGGAGTTGGTGTTTGTCTTAACATCAGTAAAAGCACTCATCCGCTATTGTGAACCAAGCGGACTGCGAATACTGACCATGATCAACAACAGGGCGAAAATCGATGTCTCGAAAGACGGAACGCGTGCCAAGAATCACGGCTTAGCAGCACCAATATGTGGACACGCAAAAGGACTTGTTCAAGCGTGAACCCCATACTGAAACTGGATTCGGTCCCACACTACAGAATGTGTCTTCGACTAAGGGTCGTTGAATAACAATTACCGTGAAGTCAAATGGTGCTGGCATGGTTGTAATCAAATTCAGTCTCATCCGGCGAAAGTAACGGTAAATGGTTTCATACCATGGATCATCATAATCACTGACTCGACTCGAAGAGGTAGGATTTATACTTCAGTGAGACCAGGGGTATTCGCAAAATAGACTGGACGCTGATAACCCTCATGAATAGCCAGCCAGCCGGACACAACATTGTGGGGCTTACTTTCCGATAGCAACAATTCCAAAAACAAATAAACGCGACAGTCCCGATCCCCAGTGGGGTGGCTAAGATTATCGGAGAGTATAACATGGGATCAGCGACCATACAGATGCTCAAACACTGGGCAGCGGATGGTTCATTGGCTAACCATCCACACGCGTACACCTGAGCCAACGATAATTCGGCAAGTGTGAATAGTCACCACTAAAAGCTACAGTCGCACTGAACACCAACAGGCCGAGTCGGTGGGTCACATTGGGTTACGTGGAAGTGTGAAACTCGGAAGCATCCACAGTCCGTTGACTAGGTTTGTGACTCGTACCATTACGGTGATTTTTAACGGTAAAATTACTATGTAAGCCGATATTCGGATATTGAACTACTGCTCTGGGCCACCACAACTGATACGTGCATCATCTGATTGCCAAACACCTTTTGTCTTCCTGTTCGCCGCTGCCCATGGTTTTATCCCAACCCCAGCTGTGCACCATACTCTGTGCATCCACGCCTTTGCACCCACCTGCCACGTGGCAGATTGCCCACCCCCTTGAAGTCACCCGCGAACCTAATGCATTGTATCCCTTTATGCGCGGTACAGCGTTCTCATCATTGGGCACGGTTATGTGACCTAATATATGGGCCTGTGAGTTTCCGCTCACGGACTCTAGTTTTCGTGGTGTGGCTTTACAGCCGTAAGTACAGTGAGTTGCACGTTCCTTGTGTACCCTGTGAAAACTCGGTTGTTTCATCACTAAACGTGTATTATTGAAGTATATCCGTATTGTATTTTGATATCTATTTGAATAGGACAGTAGTTAACTTCCGGTTGTGTTTGGATTCGACACGGGAATTCTACGAGTTGCTCAAGTCTTAAGCGAATTTGTCACTTGAAGTGATGGTGGCACTGCGGCACGGAGCAAAGCATCGGAAGAAAACCACAATTGGAAGAAAGTTAAATGGATTTTGGCTCATGTTATCAAGTTGCAGGCAACAATGTGATACGGTATGCATCTCCAGACATAGGTATCTATCCTTATGGAGATCGATAGGACAACCTCTCCTGATCAGATAAGCAAAAAAATGAACGAGTGGACATCCATGGACGTGGACATGGGTGCAGTTTGTGAGGTAATTTACATCGAGGAGTGCAAACGTGATGGAGAGCGGCAACGGAAGGACAGACATTGCCATTCAGAATGATTAAAAAGTGTGAGAAAAGCAAAAGCGGTTGGTTATCAGGTGGAGGTAGCCATGGAGATGAATGATCCGAGAATGGAAATGTGAGGGTGAAATGAAAATGGTGATGGAGGGGAATGAGATGACAACACCTCAACCGAAGTGCATTTCGAAGATCCATTAAGAGAAAAACGCGAATTTGGGATACCAGTTTTGTGGTACACGGTAACACGGAAGCGGCGGTGGGATGCGGGGAGGAAGTCATGCAGAGAAGTGAAGCCGCGGCTGAGAGGAAGCGCACAATGATTGTGGCGATCTGAACCGGTACGTAATGCGCGGGCTGAGGCTGAAAGGCAAAAAAGGGATCGGCATCTCCGCGTACGAGAATTGGGCCAAGAGGCCAGGGAGAGGACTGGAGTACTTGAAACGCGCGCGCGGAGTTAGGGATAAAGGAGTGATGTGGGAGCCGTAGGAGAACCACACGTACTGGACGAGAACAAGCAATACATACACACACACAAACGAACGCTTGGCATGGAATGAAAGGCGAATATGGTAGGTAAATGGTGACGGGTGGGTACCATACATACGCACAACCACACGCAGGCTGTCACGGTGTTGTCGACGTGGGCTCCAAATCGCTCAGAGGCTGCAGGGGTTTAACACGAACTCGGTAGAACGCGAAATCCTTTGGTAGATTGAAGCGATTTTCAGTCTGTAAATGGAAAAAGAGATAGAGGGAGTGGTAAAGATGTGATGATACACAGATGTGATGCCTAGCACCGACAGTGTGTGGACGCGCTGGCAATGTGCAATCACAACTTATTTTATCTAGATCAGGTCAAATAAGGGTCTGTGAAATATTCGTACTACGACTGCAGTAACAAGCCCTACGACTGGGTTATGGCGTGCGCGTACATAGATACAAGAAGGGTTGTGATACGAATTGAACGCTGGTGAAAAAGTCCAGAACTATGTGATCATAATCCACCTTTATTGTCTGTGTTGGAACGAGAGAGAAATCCATGTCGAAGTTTAAGGCGATAGGGAAATACGTTACAAGGTACACCCACTAACTGTGGTGGACCACAGGAGAATCATTCACATTTTGACTGTGACGATTAGCTAGAATGCAGAGAGGACTACGGTTCACTCAAGACTGTGTCTACGTAGTTCGTGCTGTACGGCGAATTTCTTAGCTTGATAACCAATCAATCAGGATTGGAATTTGATAAACTAACAGCCGGAGGCATACTGCGTCCGTGCAATACACGTGCCTACATTACTGAGTGTCAGTTCATCTAGCAGTTATTGTTTGGGGACATTTGAAGGGCCTACGAGACAGCCTGACCCAACTGAACTCATACCGTATATTTCTGACCCCTTCCTGTGCGTAGGATCTTCCGTTGGTACGACATACGTATCATAGCAAACAGCCGTGTTTTCTAATTATGCCTGAGCATAACACTCCTACGTGGAATAAACGATTGCCGGTAACTTCCAAAGCTGCAGCTATCAATAAACTGCAACAAGATAAATTCACGAGAGGAATGACGCGATGAACATACCTTCTTTGACAGACAACGCTCCTTGCGCTGATAGCTGGCAACCACAAAGTAACTGCATCGTCCGATCGACAGTTTGTGATCATCGGAGCTTTGTGGTGGCTTAGCGGCTGAAAACAGCGTTGAAAGTGGAGAAAATCCGGTGTAAGTACCAAGAAAAGGAGATGGAACCGAGACCGAGTTTAGCTGCATAAAAGATGGGCGATTTACGGGACAATCCTGATTATGGTACAGAACAGTGAAAAGTGCATACGGATGTCACACTGAAGTTTACTTGCATCCGGATGGAGGCCAGATGTCTGTGATCGGATGTTGATCGTAAGATGTCCTTAGGTGCTTGCTTCGGTCATTAAAGTATTGAGCTGCACCTCCTTTCTACCCTCCTGTTACTCCTCACTAGTGCCACGAGGTGCCGGCTAAATTGTGAGGAGAGTGGGCGGAGAAAATACCACACCTTCGACGTCGGTGCATTAAACCAATCACTGATACTGCTCAGTCAGTTCCGCAAACGTTGTCTAACGTTTGCTCTAAAAATAATAACCAACAGGAAAGGGATGAAAAAGCGCAGTTCAAGAAAATCGGAAGAAAAAGTCTCAGGTGAAAGGCACAGATAGAAGAGGGCCCGCACCGGTGCGATTTTTGATCCAGCGTTTCATTGCTGCATGTGCGTTGCCCTACTGGATTTATTGCTCTCCTATGATCTTTCCTGGTCGCTTGAGTAAAGACCTCGAAGTACTTGCCAGGTCAGTGGAATATCTAGCTCAGTGTAGTTGCCGGAACTTGTTAACATCATTGTATCCAGCCATGCCAACTGCTGTAACTAGCTTACATCTAAAATACTCACTGATGTTAGCCACTCAGTTTACAAGGCATTGTCCGAAAGCGTATCAACATCCTAGACCGGAAACAGCTACAAAACTATACATTCTCGCACAAGGATCCATAGTATATCAGCAGTTCTTTGCACGTCACGTTTTTTGACCGACACAAATTCAGTTATTCAAGAACTGGTTAGTAAATTACTTCAGTGATATTAGCTCTTCCAACGCTGTGCCAACGATTTCGAGTTCAATTCGCATGTATTATGCTATTTCATTATTTATCCCCGCCTGTTAGGGCTAATTATACATGCTTCATGAGTGTATAAAGCACAATCTTGACTTGACTTATTTCCACAGATGACAGATGATTTGAAATGCTACAAGAGTTTTTCCGATGAAATGTATTACCTTTGCTAAAGGAGATGAGCAACATGGGTGAGACAGTTGCCCAGATGATCAAATCGACCGAATACCTTCCATGGCTCATTGTGTTTGCTCTAAGTTAAAAAGTACATGGGAACAACACGCCCGAGTCTCGTCGCATCGACACTTCACTGCTGCTCGAACTACTTAATAGTTCAAATCAGCGCTATTCCCTACCGGTGGCGATACGTGTGAATATCCAATAAGAGAGAGAACTAATCAGACAGTTAATGAAGAACGAACCTAACGCAACACGAATGGTCGCTCCTCTGTGCAGATACGCTGAGTGACTGACAGTCGAGTGTGCTACACTGAACTCCGCGTTGTTCGTCCAAATGTGTGGAAGGAGAAATCTCATCTACCCAAACACGTCGTTAAAAGAGGCAGACGAAGATATATCGAAGCGTTTTGCGGGTCAAACGTGCTATCATTGTCAACTTTGATGAAAAAGAACCGCTCTGTCCTTGGATAACCGACTTTGAAACTGTGCAGCAGCACAATAGCTGAGGTGTGTTTCGTACTTCTAGCCAGCGTATTTAATGGTGATGATGAGTAACTAAGTCATCAAGGTTCGACGAGCTACGGTTGATGAAGAATGGAGCGCGTATGAAATGGGTCGGATGATTAAAAACCTATGGATAATCTTAGACGGAACACCGATGGCCAAGAGCAAAGCCACCGGTTCTACCAATGTTACTGATAATAAGGTGACGAGGAATGCCCGCTATGACGTCAACGGTACATAAGGCGATTCGCAAAAAAGCAACAAGATAGTCTCTCCCTGTAGTCATCATCATCACGATCGCCCTGAAAGATGGCCAGATGCGGGAAATACCTCGGTGACTGTGTGCCACACACAGCGTGTAAACGTTAACGAACCTGACGAGTGCCAGTGAGAATACCCGCACAATTAAGGCCCTCAAGTCAATCAGCAGCCGCCTACAATTATTGGTTAGCACCGAGTCAGCGGTGCAAGTGTGTGTGGCAAGATGCGAATTCCGACATATGCGTGTAAGAACCGTCTTTGTGTGTAGATTTAGCCAACTGTCGGACACAAGGCACAGTCTCGAGAATGGAAAACGTTGTAAAGCATTAATCGACATCATAATCAGATTCCACTATGAAAATACCTCGTGTGGTAACGCGTGCTACTTGGAAGAAAGACGAGGAGAATTTCACAAACGGACAGAATAATGGGTACACAAAACAGATGAGAGACGGAGCAAAAGCAGCGCATACCTTTGGAACCACTCCAACTCTGTTTCCAACGTCCCATGGCATGTGGAGGAGAACCGACCACTGGCTTACAGTAGTCAGTGTTTGGGTCCAGACCGAGGGATGCAAAATCATCTTGATGTAAGAAGTATACATGCCCATCAGATGATAGCATTCGCCATTGGGTAACGGCGGATTCCGAAGTTTTCTGTTCCGAGGGCGGTTCTGAACTTAGACGATCTTGGTGTGTGGAAGGACCACAGGAGGATCTGCCCAACGGCGTATCCCACAACTCATTCATTGTGGTTCCAAGCAACTCTTTGACCAGAGTAGACCTCGAGTTACATACAGATCCACCAGGATGTACACTGGAAAACATCAAGTCACGTCTGGAACCGGACCGCAAAGCGGTGGCGGTGAACGAGGTATCCATGGATTGTATGATGGTTGATGAGAGAATCGAAGAGGCTGGTAACAGAGAGTCTATTCTGTTCGAAGACATGGAGACAGCTTCTTTCTCCGCCTCTTCGATGGCGCGCTGCTTGATGTGCGAGTGATGTGGCGCCGATCCATGAACTGGGACGAATATCACGGTATCATTAGGGGTAAAGCTATGCAGAGAAGAGGATGGAATGAGGGGGATGATGGATGAATGACTCGGACGAGAGCAATACAAATGACATGGCGATAGATGAGAAGATATTGTAATCGGAGACTTCGAACAAGATAACGTTCTGTCGGACATCAGGAAGTGTTAACAAAGCTGTCTAAGAATAGCGCAGAATGTGTCCTAATGACCCGTGACCGTCTTGATATGCTCAGGCAAGACAGAATAGAAGTGGGTTACATTGGTAACAGTGATTCTCCACAGTAAAACCCATTTGCAAATTAGTTGCTTTGTTCAGGTACATTAAATGTCGGCCCGTAGCCTTAAAGAGCACAAGTCTACACTGTAATCCGAGAGCACGGATTCGAGCATGCATAAGGACCGGGCGACCCTCGCAGTATTCTTAGCATAAGTACGACCAGTTGCGGTTACGCGGCAGCGAACCTTCGGTACTGCATACCTGTGTACTGCAGATGCCTTTACTTTGCTAGGTACAATAAATGACCCTGCGAAATGTGTTAGAATACTGCAATAAGATGGAAAAACTGACAATTACTGTTTGCAAATGCGTGGGAGAATTTTGATAAATTTTACTGGTTCTTCAAAGCAGATCACAGAACAGATAGTTCGATCACCAGTCCGAATGAGCACCGGACTGCCGTTTCGCCATGTTGGAACTCGTCAAGATTGTGCGTCATCAAGCTTCATAAGGAATTGAACCCGACATATCAGCTTGCACTAGCGCTATACCTCAGTTAGCTTGAGAGTTCTGATGGTTTGCCGTAATCCGCGATGGCTCAGTGGCGCAGTCTGCTGGCAAGTGATGCAAGCTGACATAGGTCATGGGCTCGGTTCCTGATGGACCCAGAGGAAGCACACCACTGACATGCCCCAACAAAGCGAAACGGCGGTTTGCTGCTTTTCCGGATTGTTAGTCGGACTACCTGGCTCACGAGCTACTGGGAGGAACCAGTAAAATTACGGTTTAAATTAAATGTATTACAAACGGCCATTGTACAGCCGATAAATCATCAGGCGGGTTTCATCCTGTCGGAAATTCCCAACAATGCGCTTCCCATCAGTTTTCCCTGCGGTGCTAGAATCCACAGTCCGATCTTTAGGACATTGCGATTAAGGTCATTGTGCCATGAGCAATCAGGGACAGTGTCAGTAAGAGTAAGTAACCACCTGCGGTAAAGTGTAGTGCCCGTTCTCCACTGTCATGCCCGTTACAAACGTACGAAGAACAGGATTGACTCCTAGGGGCGCGACTTCCCCGTAGCTGAGTCGCCATCGTCCGATGGCACGATAGACTAGCTCGAGCAAATACTGACGTTTAGGGAGTAGTGCAAGGACGGAGTTGGATTCAGTTCAAAGGAGATTCGTCACAGCTACACTTGCTCAGATAGCCACTGACTGGAAAGCGAGGGCTCATGGATACCAGCCATTCACCTAGTGAACGGAATGCGCATAACTGGCGAGTCTCAGAAAGACGAAGCGACTGGCCGTATGCTCTTCCACATATGTAGTGGCTGATTTACCGGGTGAAAAAGCGCTTTCGAAACTAATCCAAACGCATTCGTTCACTACTATACTAATTATGTGCTAGGAGAGTTAAGGGACTCGAACAAATTTCAACCGTGTTCAACCTACCTGGATGACGGCTAACACAGCAACAGCGCATGCACCATGGGGCGAATCGGCTCATAACGGCGAGAGCGTCAATCTGTCTGTGAAAGTGCGCATAAGAAATTCCTAATTTATTGTACCATGTAAGTAGCGTGTCGTTCTGCACGAAATCAATTTTTGACCGAAGCCCAGCCTGGCATTTTGCGTCGTTGGATGGATAAGTTACAAAGCGTACTGAGGCTCCACTTTGCTCTCCATTTATGTACTTTCGATCGATACCATGTTCCAGTACTTTCGCAACGATAGTATTAACAAGACTTACAGACGGTTCGATAAGGCGACCTGACTGCCGTTTGGACAGGAATATACGGACGCCTCAGTAGCCTCACGCATGTTTAGCACAAACGCTGCCTCATCAAAATCCTGTTCCAACGAGCTCGAAGAATATGCAATCACGAATGCTTAGAATCTGGGTTGCAATTGAGTAAACGGACGCCACGGGAAGATGGCTGCTCTGCTGTTTTTATTACGTTCCACGGCCGCCCGATGAAAAAGAACAAACAAAAGCCCCCTACGGTGCCAAAAATGCCCACATATCTCCAGTTGCCATTCAAAGGAGATGTCAAGGCAAAGCCAGTTGAGCGAGGCGTAGCCACAATTAATGCTGCTTTGGACAAACAGGAAGTTAGCAACGCCCCCACGTCAAGCTTACCCAACCGATCTCCACCACAGCACATTGTATCTGTAGCCGCGGAAGCAGTTAGGTTGACTGAACAGATCGGTTCCTGTGTAAGCGGGTCGGAGAGTATATCCTAAAGTACGTTGATGTCATTATGAAAGGTCAAACATGAGGACGCGCATTAAGCCCGAAATACCGATCTAATCGATTGCTAAACACCTACTAAGCATAGATATACAAATTGACCCGGACGTGACGTTTACGATTATCTAGCGAAATATAAACCTCAAAGTACTCAAGCACAATGGGGCCATGGCCATTACTCGCAACCACCTGAGCTTTGTGTACAAAAGCAGCTAACTGACACTCAAGGTTCCCTGAGGACCATAGCACTTGTTTCTGCTGTATCGTGTGCCGTTATTTGCACAAACTTCTAACATTCCAAACTATTGATTCCTTCCATCATCTAACATGTTGCTCAATCCTCTGTGATCAGAGAGCACAAAATGATGTGATCTTGCAACATTCGTCTTCCCATTGTATTGTTTAGGGTAGTATTAACGTCTAAAATGCACCCATTTAAGGGTAAAAGGCACCTATTTCGTTGGGTATCGAATCGTTTGTGGCACAATGCACATGCACTGGCAATTAACCGCAGAATTCTACTAGCGCAATCATTACCAATGATCCTGCTACAGAACATGATCAGAGTGATGGTACACCTTGAGTTTCATCATTGCCATTTATTGTAAGGATGGTTGAAACTATGTGGTGAATTTGTGGCGTTGTCTGCTGCACGTTTGACACATGTCACAACGAGTGTAAAATGAAACAAATATGAAGAAAAAAGAACTGAATGCAATACCTAGAAGCCATGTGCAAAAAATGGGCTCACTTCGCGTGGACAAAATTGATAATGCGTTTCGGTTCACAGGTGGAAGAGATAGCGAGCGAGTCGAGCAAAGGTGGGTGGAGTACAGTTGAAGAGGGCGAAGGATTACGGTGGTGAACAGCTGGTGGTGTGGTCCTAGACGGAAGCTGGTGATTAAGAAAAACGAAAGGAAGAGAAAGTAAAAGGGGATACTGGTTCGCTAATCGGTAACGAGCAAATTGGACACGGTGGGAAAGGTACAGTGACCATGATGGGGATCTATTGAGCAAGTTGGTTCAAATTCACCGCCGGGCAGACGGCTGGGCTGGACAGAAAGAGTGGACATCGCTACATACGGCTGACGCACCACGCATCCTGTCAAAATTTGGAACAATAATGTCAGTACATATGGATGCGGAAGGTTATCAGTTCCATGTTGGAAAGGTCAAAGTACTTGGAAGAGCAAAGAACCGCAGAGCACGTGAGTTCATCGAGGTCTGGAATTCGGGTCGGAACTCAACAAGCACCTGTAACTATACGTTTTCTCAATTCGTTGCATTGTTCCCCCAAATATTTGCATCGGTGACGCTCGAAGTTGTGTCGCGTGCGATCTCGTGATCTCACGTCGAGAACACAGTCATAGGAGTCCACACGTGTAACGTGTCACATGACGCACATGATGCAGCTTCCAGCGTCACCGATGCAAACATTTGGGGGAACGATGCAACGAATTGAGAAAAGGTGTAAAAAGAGTTTACGAAGCTCTGCAGATAAGGTCAGCAATAAGTACCAGATCGACAGGGCGAAGACGTGGCCACTTGGCGGACCCAGGTAAACGAATGGAAGACGGATATTCAATGCAGGAGACGATCAATAGTCACTTGGATCTGGCAATGGCTTAGGAGAATGCAAATCAGACCCTGCTAGCCGCACAGAGGATGTTGCCTAGCTTGGCAACGAAACGTCCGCAACAAAATTGTCCAGCTCGGAGAACACATCAACTCTCTCATCCACACCCTGAGTTACAGGCATTCACAATAGTTTCTAACATATTCTCGCCTAAGTAGGCGTTCAACAAGCAAGTCGAGTATGTAAGCTTACATAAAATATCTACGTCGTTTAGAAAGAAATGGGTAAGAAAACAAAAAGGAATGAATCAGGACAATATGAGGAAAACATAGTAAGCCGGTGTTGCTATCACACTCGCTCGCCCTCCAACATCGAGAGAAGCAACACCGTATCCCCACTGTCTAAATTTTAAGCAGTGGCAGTGATGAAAATAGCTTCGTAAGACTTGTCATGGTCTCTGTGCGGGCTGTGAGTCAGTCTTTACAGTCGTCAACCGATCGAGGGGGGAGGCGTTTCAAATTTTGTTTATCTAGAAATCGAACGAGCCGATGATAAATATTGGACCTAAACTCACCAATTCTGTCTGTTGCTCAAGGTCCGTGGTCTGGGAGTCAACAGAGTTACCACCTGGAAAAAAAGGACAGTTCAGTTTCTAGGGTGGTGGTTGAAGAAAACATGGTAAGCTTCAGGGTATTAATAGTTTGGATGCAGTGGAAAGGTAAGTACGAATTAATTTTCGCAAACTTCGGTTGACTAGCTGTAGGTGGAACAGGCGACATCAGTCGGTTAGCTAAAGTGACGGTGAGGTGCGCAGGGGTGGAACGGTGTTCGAAGCATGGCACACATGATTTACACACAAGTATTTCTCACAGGTTTGACCAACCCCACACTCGGATGTGATGACATGTCGGGGGGGGGGTGGAGTTGTGGGTCTCCACTGCCCACAGAATGTGATGGAACTGGTAAAGAAGGGGCACGGAGACTAGAACACTTAGGAATAATTGAAAATGCCAATGTGGCGCACATGCACAACTGCACGGCGGTGAGTAATACTTTTCTTGCCGGAACGCCAAGTGATTCTGCGAAGATACGCACCGGCGGCACGGACTCCAGTACTCGCGTGCACAATTAAGGTGATACGTCGCGTGGCGCCCGCAGTGTGGTCATGCGACTTCCAAACCACCACGCAGCGGGGTTTCGTGGATAAACTCGTCGCGCCAAAGCTCACACCGGCGTAATGAGTCAATTGCGCAATAACTAAGGGGCCGTCTCAACCCGCGTCACTGCGAAGCCAGTAAAACTGCTCGTGTCAAAGGTCTCTCTCTGGTTTGGGGTGCGGTAGCTGGAGCACGTTCGTCTCAAACCGCGCACCTCAATCATTTGGAAGAGTTTCGTCATCCTCTATACGGCGACTTGGTTTCGCGTGGGCATTATCGTGCAATCGATCCGAATTGGGTAATCGTCTATTCGATGCGTGCCTACGACCCTAAGCGAACGTCTCAATGGGTGCGTCTAGTAAAAAGGTGGCCCACTACAGATTTACGACGGGTAAACAATCCCGTGTTTCAAGGGTCATGCTGTGCAGTCTGGATGAAGAGTTTTTGAGCCCACCAAAAGACGTATGGAGTATTTTCTTTCAAAAGTAAGCGATGCGTGAGTCCTGTTTACTGCGTTGTTTTACAACCCTGACAGATGGTGGCTAATAAAGCCAGATATTTGTCATGGAAATCGGAAAGAAAGATAATCCTTTGTGGCAAGAAATAATCTTCCAGCCACCGGTAAAATAGTATTGTGAACGCGGAAATAGCCGACTCAAAAAGCGCATTCCGTAGGAACCTACTTGATTAAAAAGAAAGTTTTTCAGTTAACCAATAGTGTTGCACTGCCACGTCAAATTCAGAGAATGACTTCGTAGGTTGATATTGCTTTTCAACTGAACTGATTATCGTTGAGCTCCAACAGAGAAATGTGCATATGATTTTTGTTACACCGGATTACCTAAACCAGCACCAGGTCGCCTATCAACACCTGTACCGTCCGTTGAGCATTCCGGTTTCAATCGTTAGTGACATAGTAGTAGTATATAGAGTATTATAAAACATATCTGGTGACTAGACCGTGAAGAAGTAACATAGTAATGAGCTTGGTCAGAGGCTGTCAGGCTCAAACTGTGTATTAGAGACAAAATTTTAGGGTTGAGTAGGCCAAGTGGTTGAGGGCTGTCGAAAAGAGTCTAACGGGATAGTTAACAGCTCCCAATACCTTTGCTAATTGCTCCAAACGACAAAAACTACGGTGAACAAGTAAAATCCATGTAAATGGCATGGTAGCAATTGCATGTCTGGGTAATACCAGCAAAAAGAAAGTTACTGTGACAATTTAAGTATGATCATTAATGAATACCAGACAGATGTGACCATAGCACTAGGCTCTATGGTACATCATATCCAAGTTGTGTGGGGTTAGACAAAGAGCTCCGGGAAAAATGACAACAATTGTCCCCATTGATGATCCATCTCAAGAGAAAATCGCCGATACGGGAACACTGGGGGTTAGGAAAACGGACCCGATGATCTAAGCAGTGGAGGGTTATCGAGGAAGGAATTACCTAGAAACCAGAAAAGGAATAATATGGATGCGTCCGTTCGTGGCAGGTGATAACTAGCGCGTAAATTAACCAACCAACAACTGCTACGCACACCACTTGAGTATGGATGAGCTTTGCGATATTTTAGCGGTAAGAGTTCTCTCGGTGGCTCTTAACACACTGGTGTCAGGTGGATATTTGACAACAGGTGACCGCATGCAACGATGATTATGCAACACGCATGGCCAGAGATAGAAAACGAGCAGCGGTTCTACAAACGAAACGTATAGTCATGCTGCTCTAAGAAGGCTTCGTGGTGGGCAAAATAATGGTGCGGAAGTTCAATCCCCATTGCTCTAAGTCATTGATCCACTGAAACACATTAAACACACACTGAACTCGTGTAGAGCGTGAAATGAGGTCTGCGATGAGTTTCATGAACTAAAACGAGAAGATATAGCGGCCCTTCACCTACATACGTACACATAGGGTTTGTCCGAAAAGCAATGTCAGCAAATTCACGGTGTAGTGAATACACGTCGCAGCGCGCTCGGTTGGGTTGGGATCGGTGGAAGGATGAGTCAGTTTAGGCAAATGCAATCGCTCAGTCATCTGCGACCATCCGCAGTGTAAGGACGGCCATTTTCGTGAAACTCGTTTTCGCCTCCCGCGATTCAGCACTCCATGGAGCAAAGGAATGCTGTCAAGTTTTGTATGAAACTCGGCAAGTCTGCAGTGGAAACCTTTCCCTTGATAAAGACAGTATTTGACGATGACTGTTTATCCGAACGTCAAGTCTACCGGTGGCACAAGTCTTTTTCAGAAGGCAGTGAAGAGATTGGCGATGAAGCCCGAGCTGTAAGGCCATCAATGACGACCATCGACGAAAATGTGACGCGTGTGACTAAACTGTTAAACTCAGACCGTCGTTTGTGTGTTCGTTTAATGGCACAAACAATAGGCATTCCGAAAAGTACCGTTCACGAGATTGTGACGGACAATCTGCTAGTGAGAAAAGTGTGTACGAAGCTGGTGCCCAAAATGCTAACCGATGACCAAAAGTCGCGCCGAGGCGAAACGTGCCAGAAACTTTGAGATTTGTGTTAAAGCGACTCTCACTTTTTAGACAATGTCATCACAGGTGATGAGTCTTTGGATCCGTAAGTAAGACTCCGAAACAAAAGGGCAAAGTGTCCAGTGGCATATCTCGGTGTCCCCTCGAAACAAAAATTAAGACCATGATCACTGTGCTCGTAACATCAGGGTGTTCGTTCACCATGAGTTTTTACTGTATGGTATCACTGCACCCATTTCTACGTGAAAGTGCTCAGTATACGCAAACAAAGGGTTCAATGTATCCGGTCCGATATCGCGGACGATTGGAAACTTCACCATGACAACGCGCCGGCCCCCACCGCCTTCCTCGTGCCAACGGTTCCCCAGCCGCCCTACCGTCCTGACTTATCTCCCCCAGGCTTGTTGTTCTGCCGCTTGAAAACTATGGAAGGACATCATTTCGGGACAGTTACAAGGTCAGAAAGGACAAACTGAGGAGGTGAAGGATGATCAACAAAGAGAGTCAACAATGGAAATAGCGGACGCAGTTAATTAAATACTATCATACATATGAGATGCGTCAGAAAATTTTCAGGACCGGTGTCACTAAGAGTTTTCCGCCTTTAAAGTAATCCCCTAGGGTCTAATTTATCTTCACTTCATTCCCTGTCAAGTTTGCAGGCACTTCCGCAAGAATTTTTCCGAGAGCCTCTGCAGCTCCGTCGTCGGGACCTTTATAAGTAGTCCACGTTGTCAAAATGGGTCCCTTTGATGAGGTTAGGGAAGTGGAAAACATCGCACAGAGCCAGGTCGGGAGATTGCTCCTGCACGGCGATGTTCCTCTCAGCTGGAAACTGTCGGATGTTCAAGATATTGTGAGCAAGCGTATTGTCATAGTGAAGCAGCTACGAAGTGTGCTGCCACCACTTAAGCCTTTTCGCATGCATTGAACGAAGTAAACGCTGCATTATCTCTGTAGACATTCTAGTTGATCATCTGACCTTGTGACAAGAACTCACAGTGGACGACCCCACACAAACATAATATGATGAACATTGAGTTGTGATAGTACACTTCGTGGCTGCTTCACCGCGACAACGTCATGAGCATCCGATAGTTCCTGGCCTGGAAGTACGAAGCTGTGCTGAAGGAATCTACAGGATTGGCTCCGTGTGATACCTTCTTTTTTCCTAAGCTCAAAGGATTCATCAAAGAAGCCCGTTTTGAAAACATGGACGACATAAAACTGACCGTGACGACAGAGAATCCCGGAAGAATGCTTCCGTGAGTACATACAAGCATGGCATGGTAGCTCGGAAAAATGCAATGAACTTCAGGAAGGTTGCTTTGAAAGCGAAAACTTTTAATGTGAAACTGGGATTTGGAATTAAGCTTTTGTTACATCAGTCCCGTAACTGTTATGACAGGTTTCGTAGGTTGCGTGTCTAGTAGCTCCAACAGACCAAGGTTCAAACGCTGGATAACATCGCACGCGTGTATGGCAACAGTCTAGAACATGGACGTAGGACAGCAATAATATAAGGTAACAATAAATAAAGACAATAAAATGAATATGACACTTGAACCCGAGTCTGTATGCGTAAAGAAATATGTACATATATATAGAGCAGGATCCGAAATTGTCACAAAAGCAGCTAAAGAACTTGGAAGAAGGAAAAGCATGCGATACCTAGTTGAGGACGCATTGTCGATGTGTCTCGGCTGGTCAGCGTCGAGGAATTGGAGGTCTGGTTATCCACATAAGTTGGCTGGATCGGGTCGATCTTTTCTAGTGTGAAGGCAGACGCAGAATTTTGGTCTGGTTCCGCAGGAGTCGGGGAAGGGCAGCCGGAAGGGGAGTTCTATGAAAATGAGATAAAACAAGGAAAACGGTTCGTCCTTATTTGGATGCAAGAGAGAAACTTTTGAAAAGCCAATAAAACATGCTAGAGTAGGGGAATGGATCCGGAATTGAAAACGCGAGCGGAAAAGACTGTGAGCCTACTTGCAAGCGATAGGTGCTTAAATGTTGAAATAGGTCGGTAGCTAGTTCGTCTAATGTGTGTGTGGGGGGGGGGGGACAACGAAGTCTAGACACGGCAAGTAAAATGATGCCGGTGTTAAATGGAAACAATTCAATAAAACAAAATGGACGTAGCGAAGCCTCAAGGCACGGTATTGAGGCCCATTTCGTTCCTGATCCACAACAACGAAGTGCTTCAGCTTCTTTAGTCGCTTTGTGTCTTGTTTGCAAATGACTTGAAAAGATTTGGAGAGTAGCTGATGCTCCCGACGACTGCGATGTACTTCGGCATGACCTTGATCGTCTGTCCAGGTGGCCTGTAAAGGTCCATCTGCCGGTCAACCCATTAAAATAATTATATATGAGCCTAGGGAGGGTGTTGATGGGTGTAGATACACATTGACCGGTCAATCGCTATATCTCACACCTTCCGTGAAGAATCTCGGCGTATTCTCACGCTGCGATTTGAAGTCCGTAGATAACAGGAACAAGCTAGATGAAAACGGACTGTAGATGCATTGGGAGTTCAAACACTGCTTCTGCAGTTAGTCTGAAGGCATTGCCATGCAACTCTTCTCTGCCAACATAAAACAAATGCTCGAGTACGAACCACCTGTACCCGTGGCGAGGTGCAAAAGCCGGAACGTGTTTAGCATGTGGCCACCAGGCTTGTCCTCAGTTTATGCGGTATGTCACACGAAGATTGATGCAGGGGACAGGGGTTGCTGTACATTCTGTCGAATCGTTGGGTTTCGCACCGGATATTACAACATCGGTGACCTCTGTAGGTAGAAACCGCTTCTGTACATGCGCACAAAAAGCCACACTCCCGGGCACCGGTGCAAAGTTGCGGTACCGGACCTGAAGCGGATAGGTCAATCTCAATGCTTTGAGCGCCGAGTAAAGAAGCATTGAAACAGTTTACCTGCGATATAATCGAGGCGAAGTCGGTGTCGGAAATCAAGAAATTCCTAAACACCCACATTGGGAGTTACAGATTTCGAGAGTGCATCCTAGCTGAGTAGGACGTCGCACAGCCGAACTACGTTGGCGGTACTCGGTAATAAATAAAAATGATTCCGCATATGTGTCCGGTAATATATCGATGGGGAAACCCAGAGGTATATTTTTAAGCCCTCGATTTTCAGTATTTGGAACAGGAGCGAAGGATTAAATGGGTCACACAATCTGTCCTCAAGAAAAATTTCTGCTGAAGGTGTAGCGCAGAAAATGGGCGGGCCTAGTTTAAAAACATGCAAAAAATAAAACGCATCATTATTATGGTGCGTTGTGACAGAGTTAGATTAGATAGTGTGGTGCGAATGGGCAATCCTAAGGAACACCAACTGCAGACCATATATATATATATATATATATATATATATATATTCATAAGTCTGAAGACAGAAAAATGTACCATGACTGTAATGGTATGAAAAATGATTGTTCAAAAAACGGAGGAAAAGGGATTTCTTTTCTCGTTTTTGCTTGCTTTTCTGGTATTCCATACACGTCAAATGGAATTCCTGTTTGTTTGTTTAAAATTAAAAGTTGGATGAAAGGGAAATATCAGAACAGCATTGACGCCACTGACTTCGGTTACGAGATACAGCCTCCAAAATTTCCAAGCACATGGTCCCCAACCTGGAAGCCGGGAAGATTTTGCTGAAGCCAAACATGAGGTGACATTTTTAGCGTTCCCCTTCAACGTCATCGGTTGTCAGCCTCGGCATTTTCTCCACTCACGCCCAGAAATTATAAATAATGCTCGGCGAGGAAATCGATTGAATGGAATGCGTAAAACATGACCAAGTCAACGAAAACGGTATTCGAGAATAATACCCTGAAGACTGGGATTGTGCGCTCCGAATACTCGGCTTCTGACTTCCGAGTTGCTTACGTGATGCTGCCACCACACACGAGCGATCATTCGCAAGCAGCGGTTGTCGAAAGATGCTAGATCAACTGCACGAACACACCAGGTCTCGCAGCCGTATATCATGACCGCACGGACAGTGGCCCTGTGCGCTCTGCTTTGGGCATCAGCAGTACGCCGGTACGCAGTATCAACGCTTCGCTGTCGGGTAACCACCACCGGTCGCACGCGGGACATGGATATTGCGAGGGTCGCTCTGTCCCTACGTAGGCCCGAACCTGCGCCGTCAGATTGAAAGACAAGCTCACTACCTTTAAACTACGGGCCGACTCTGCCTTTCAGCTTTAGACTGATGTCGCGGCGCCGTCACAAGTAGCTCAGGTTGGTGAACGCCTAGCGATTCGCTGAGATAATTCATCCCAAACACCGCCACTCACCGTGATACAACTCCCGAGATAAATGAAGCGATTCGCTTGTTCCAGGTGATCACCTGCAATTGTGAGTGTAGGCACTGACACTTGCCAATCTTGGAGCACGGTTTTACACTGGGATGGGGTAAAGTACAAACGATAATCAGATGCTTCGATTGCTGAGCGGTTCAACACGTTTTGGATGGCATGTGTGTAGTCCCCAGCAGAGCGGTGTCATCAGCATAATCCAGGTTGAAAACTCTGTCCCCGGTGAGAAGCTCAACGCCGTAGCTCTCGGCTCCTTTCAGAGCACAATGGAGAACATCAGCGATAACAAAATTGAATAAGAATGGTGAGATCGCGCAACCTTGAGGTACTCCGCTGGTAACAGCAAAAGACGAAGAAAGCCTTCCATAAGCTTTAACTTTGCCCGATGTGTGACGATAGAGTTCTTTCAGGATTGTGACAAATTTGTCGGGTACACCGCTTCTTAGCAGACAGTTTCAAAGAGATGTTCTAGCTATGGAGACAAAGGCGGTACGGATGTCCAAAAACACCACTATTGTTGGTGTACACTCAATTAACACGGATATGGGTGTTACAGGAAGAAGCAACGACCAAAGAAGATAGTTGAGGCAGCAACAAGGTAGTATTCAACTAGCAGTTTATGTCACTAGTCGATGGGTCGTGAGTTCGGTGTCGCGTGTAACCGAGGATGCGCACTACTGACGAGATCTAGAAAGGCGAATCAAGCGTCAAAGGCGTTTTTGAATGGGAGCTGATTGTGACGAACCATCTCTATAGTCGGTTATTTGAGGGGTTAGTAATGCATGGGGGCTGGCGCCCGGTAGAAGACACTCCCATGGATCTGTTCTCTCAATCAATGAGTAACCGACCAACAGCTCGAAGGAAAAGATGTCAAAAGCACGCTTTTATCGGTGTTGCACTCATGTGTGACTGCAAGCAGCTGATAAAGATATGTCAGCTTGGTGAATCAAACATTTCCTATGTACAGATCGAAGATGTCCCAGAATACGCAGCAATTAAGCAAACGGTAAGTGTCTCATACTTCGGATGAGTTCAAAATGTATAATGTTGATAACACTTACTTGTGCCGACTGAGAACAACTGGGACCGGCGCTAGAGTCCGGTGAAGGTGATGGCACGGAGGAAAGGTGCAGAAAGCAAGGTGGGTGAGGGTAACGTTGTACATACGCAGCCAAACGAGCCAATATCTGAAGCGTAGAAGACCAGAGGGATCGAGGATGACATAGAAATACCGTAAAGCCAAACATTGGGACTGGGACACATAAATGTAGTCAGCACGTGTTGTGCAATAGGATGTGGCAAGGTTCGAAAAGCGGAAAAAATTAGGATTAACTAGGCAATTGAGGCGAAGCTTTAAAGAGATCGGAAAGGGAGATGAAAACTACGTCAAAACACAAGAGCTGCTTTCCATTTCGCAATACGCCGAGTCCGCGAACGAGATAGAAGTGGAGCCCGCATTTTTGTTATAATGATGAACAGGAACGAATGGCATGCAGAATCGGAGGAGCAGCAAGAAGAACAATAAACAGACAGACCGATAACTGTAACAATTAATATAAGGCGTAAGGCGAAACGATGTGCAGTCCGAGGGGCCTTATCCTATGGGCTACCGCTGTTTCGGACCACGTATTGTGAGTTGTCTGAGGATACGTCTTCCAATGACATCGGGAATAGTATAAGCAAACTAATTAGTGCCGCAGCAATGCCGCGGGCATCGGGAGTCAAGACATCAGCAGGCGAATGATGCCCGTCGTGGAATGTCTCAAAAAACGATTCAGATCTTTCGTGTTATTCTAGCAAACAAAAGTTTGGTGTATCCGTGCTTAGTTCAGTCTAGTTTGACAACTTTGATCCATGCACAGAGATGCGGTGGACCAAGTTATGTTGATACAAGTCACCAAGAGGCCAACCCTATCCTTTGCAACATGTTCAGCTTAGATATCAGTGGACGATGAATAACGCTATATCACAGTTGGCTTGTAAATCATGACAGTCTGCTACTATCCCCTGCTCTCATAGCTCCGTAGTATAAGCTGTTTGTTGGCGGTGCAAGCCGCTAGTGGTCAGGTGTTTTGATCCTGATGAATACAATGGATGCTCATCACTGACGAGACCAAACAGGTCGAAATGGCAAGTGGAGGAGTTTCCGATTTGAAAGCTATTACGAGGAAACTTGCAACAATACGGTAATGTGTAGCTCGTGATCGACGAGCTATCTTCGATTTGCTTTGTGAACCAGCCAAAAATTGAACAAGTAATCCCGGCTACCAGTAGTACAGACCGTACCAAAATCCGTATCCGTTTGAACGATATCAAAGGACTACTAGGTACACGATTCCTGGCCGCAACGTCGATGGACGATATATAGTGGCAATCCACATACAACTTGAGGATGAGGATGCATATATGCCAGTTGGCATAACGTTAAGCATCCATAGACCACCAATGGGACTGGGGGTTAAAGGTAGATTGACTGACTTGTTTGGGACTCTACTTTCTACCGCGAACTACTCAAGTTCAGTTGCACTAAGGAAACGTCCCCGCCACCACCACCACCGCCGCCGACGAAAGACCATCGCAACTTGCAATTTAACGGATATAGCGCAACCTATCCTCAACTACAATGCAGAGTACCAAGCTTGCAGAGGAAAGCGGTTAGCCTTCGGAGGTCGACTTCCACAGCGCAGTAGTTATGTATGACGCAGCATTTGAGGACTGTGATGAAAATTAATTGGTTCGTTCCAACAACTCACAAGCGCGACAATCTAAGCACCAATCCGGAAAAGCACCAGATGATCGTTTCGCCATATTGCGGCTCGTCAGTGGTGCGCATTCTCCCGGTACCCTGCAGCCAGTCGAACCCGTGACTGGCATCAGCTTGCCCCAATTAGCCAGTACTTTATGCCACTGAGCCATGGGGGACTGTGGCAGACCGTCGCAACTTGCAAGCTGACTGGAATATAGCGCAGCACATCCTCCACTAACATGCAGGTTACTACCATTACAAAGGAAGGCGGATGGCCTCCAGAAGAAATGCGAACCAATGGCGAGCCCCAATAGGGCGAAACGATCGGCTGGTGCTTTCCGGACTGGGGTTAGAATAGCTGGCTAGTGAGCTGCTGGGACGAACCAGTATTGTTGTGATTGGTTAGCACGAGCCACAGTCTGCCTGGCGATGCACGTGACTTGTGTGTGAATGTGGCTGTCATAAGGCGAACCAGTGACTTGGTCATGCGCACACATTACAACCGTGTCCTTTACATGTCCATCTTCTTACAATAAGTATAGTATCCGTGAATGTACGGTGCTTCGCGGAAACACGTCATGAAGGATCCGACCTAAGTATCCACTGGCAAATGACAGCCTCAGGTTTACGAGGAGAGTGTCTTTCCGTGTACGAATCAATGCACACAGAGGGAACACATGTAGACGTGGACATCACGGATAACTGAACGGTCAAGATAGAAATCGTGTTTAAAAAGAGCAACGCTGTCCTCTACACGTCGAAAGCGTGCATGGCTACAGAGGAGGTGTATACGCACCGCCGTGGTTAAGACACGAAGTCTTAAGGATCAGGTTGAGGGTTATAGCTTTAGAGGGGCCAGATGGAATGCGCACTGCTAAGGATCCCCGAAGGAATGAAACGGCCATTTAGTGCTTTTCTGGACGTGTGGTGATGTCTGACTGAGACTAAATGTAATGAACACCTATTTATACTACTCAAGTTCTTCTATTACTAAATTGGGATCAGTACGCAAACCAAACAGCTTATAATGCCATGGTTAATCGACGGCTAAGTTTGATAAGTTGATCGCCTGGTGAGGGGGCCACTATATCCTCTGCATGGCAGTAAGGTGCAAGGCAGTGGGTACTGAGTGGCACTATATCATATCTAGCAACTTATCTATGGCAGTGATTACCGTCGCCCGCAGCTCAGTGGTCTTCATCACTGACTGGTAACAGTCTGATTGCGAGTTCTAGTCCCCCAAAAAAGCCAGATAAAATATGTAATGTTGACGATATCTGAAAAGATGAAACGGCCGTACGGTGATTTTCCGCATGTGCAGTGGCCGTCTGACTGAGTCTTGGTTGCGAGGAATTCATTTTGAGAAAGTACAAGAGTAAACACAAAGCGATGCATTGTTGAGGTGAAATGCGCTAAAGTCAGACGAACATGGATGCACATATACACAAACAGAAAGGAATGAAATATACACTGAACCGACCGGATTTAACATTGCCGTCTGATCCGCGTTAACAGGGCAGCCGGTAGATGTGATCTTGTTCCCATCGGACCCGGCATGGAATCGAGCGGCGAGTTGTACGCAGGCTCGATGGAGCTGATTGACTGTACAAAGGGAACCCACTTCTTCAGAAGGTGCCTCCAACGAAGACGAGTGACCAGAGGAGACGGAAATGCGCCGAGCTGCATGAAGAGGCAGAGCACAAGATGACTGTGGAGGAGGAGGGGCGAACTAATACGCAAAGCATTATAAAGCTGCATCGAAATGTGCTCGTAAAGTTGTAACTCTAGTTAGTATAAAAACCAAAGGATTCAGAACTAATATCCAAAGAGATAGGAATGGTACTGTGGAGGTAAGGTTTTTGTGTGCGGAAAAATGAGTTATGATCGACCAAGTGTTTGTTCAGTGTATAGCTGACCAGTTTTTCAGCTGTAGGCTACATCGAGTTACCGACATGGCTACTCGGAGCGTGTGTGTGAACGATGCGGCTTTTCTGGCAACAGGCGGAGTCCCTAATCAGTGCCGTTGAACAGTGGTGCTCCGCGTAAAGTTCACTTGGAATATTGATGCTTTTCCAAAAGTGGATTGTCTACTTAAGGACATAGCGTCCCTATTTCCGACATACAAATAATGGACCAAGTCGATCATGCACCTACCATCTGCAGAACGAGATTCACTCGAACGATCCACTAAGTGAGCTGGTCGGCTTGGCGTCGGAGCATCACCCTTAGAAGCTCCCCAGGCGTCGTCCTCCTCGGTGGGGACACCAGGTTCGTCAGTGTTGGAAAGATTGGTACGAGTGGAATGGAAACTGACCGACATCATGGTCGTCGGAGTGGAGTACTCCAAGTCGGCAAACAATTCATCCGCCGCGGCCGGATCCAGTTTCAGACTCATCAACGCTGCACGACGCCCAGCTGAGGGTGGAGAGTCGCCGGTATCCTGCGTCGGACTTGGTGGGTCGGTCGGCTGCAGGGTAGTAGAAGGTGAGGGAGCGAAAAATAACACGAACCGAACTGGTTCAAATTCCGCGGAGTTCAGACATCGGGTGAGTATCGACTGAACGAAAATTATGTTCGTAAAGTCGAGTTAGGTTTTTTTTCTACCATACTTCTAGCATGTAATAGCCCTAAGATGTGCAACGATCAAAAGTTACTGAGGCATGCTGGGCTAGAGAATGTGGATGCACCTTATATGCATTCAAAGATATGAGGGGTTCTCAGTTCTAATAAGCAACTCATGTGCTATGGATTTGAGTAACGTGTGAGTGGGCCATTAAGCAAAGATATCAGCAGTATGCCGGTACGCAGTACCAACGCTTCGCAGCCGCGAAACCATTAACATTCGTGCGTGGACTACGGAAACTGCGGGAGTCGTCAGGTCCCCCACTCATACTCGAACGCGCGCGCTGAGATTACAAGACAGGCGGCTTGTGATCCTTTAGGCTAGGGACCGGTCATTAAGTAGGATATGGAATGGGATAAGTTTGGATGATGGCAAGATCATATAAAGAAATGCGGAGTTGCAAAGATAAGCACTTGTTGGAAAAGCTCTCAAAAATATCTGCCAGACCGAGACGTTGAAGACGAGACAGAGGCAAAGATCGGCCCATCGAGGAAATGAACGTGCAAATAAAAGTAATTCGATCGTAGGAGTCCGCCATGAATGCGCAACTACAAACCATGTGTTTAGATGAGCAGTTGTTGTACCATATTACTTACCCACGTATCGAGGCGAAGGCGTACGGTGACCGGTTGGTTGCGGTCGTATCCACAGTTACCGGCGGCTACGTGGAGAACTCATATTCGTAAGCCAAATGCTGAAAGATCTCAGGTGCTTTATGAAGCTCTGCCCGAACATCAGCCTGCGAGTCAATAGCTTTAAATTAGGCCAACAATACGTTCGTCTAGATTGTCGACGAACATAGTTCACCCTTCGGGTCTACCAATCCTGGAACGCCTTTACAAACACAGTTGCCTGTACCGCCACCATGACCATTTTCAAAAGAACGCTTGTGTATCGCGCTCAGCTCCCTGCATTGTGTTTTATGAACAGATTTTCTGGAATGTATTCCAGTTAACTAGTCTCATGGAATTATAATCCATACTGACGCACGTAAGTCGGTGCAATCGGGCGAACAGTCCCATTGCTATTTGCATTAACCAGAACAATGGGCTATTCCTACAATCCTGCTTCAAAGATGAGGCTGTCAACTTGGTAGAGCTGTACGCTATCGGGCGAGTCTAAAGGTTGCGGAATGAGGGAATGCTTGTCTTGTGGGGGTAATTGCGAATAAGTCTCGTCTGCTTTGCAGGCCAGATGAATAAGCAGTCGCGGACAATCAGCGGCAGCGTCTCAGAGTGTGGGGAGTTCTGGACTGGTCACCTGGTTCTCCATCAAATACTACAAGAGCTCGTATGGCGCTGTGTTAAAGTCAATGTGACCGGTTATAGAGTCACTGACCACTCATTTCTGCAACCGGAGTTGAGTACTTAACGTAGAGCGAATGAACAACCTTGTTGGCCACCGACTTTTGTGTGGATTGCTACCGAACACAAAGAAGGCGAATGAGCCACCTGGCTGTCAAAGATCTTCGTATACAGCAATTTGCGTGAATCCCCCGCTGCCTAACGGGTCAGATGTTTATGACCAAGGGCTTGGGCAGCCGGGAAGCTCTCTACCCACACAACACATAAACGCACCTAAGCTTTTTGCTGACTGCCTGTTTTTCTCCTTTTTGTTGTTGTTACACATGAATTGTGGCAGTGTCAATGGTAAGTTGGTCAAGTGTTGAGTATATATATATATATATATATATATATATATATATATATATATATATATATATTTGTGTAATCTTCGAATATGTAACTTCTTTACCAACCTACGGGACATGTTAAGCCTATGCTTATCTACCCGTCATAAACCATGGTTCAATTGTTCCACCGTTCCATACTGACATGCCATATGGAGCGCGAACTCGAAGACATAAGACCAAAAAATGAATTAGAATTGGAGAGGTTCGACATTAACCAAGTGTCTCTCATCATTCGATGGTGGAGTGATTTAGGCGACCTACGTGGACTACTAGTTCGAGTAAGAGTGGGCATGACCCACCTCTAAATATCCCAAGCAGCAAGTACACAGTGACGCTCGTGTGGCAGCGAGTTGTCGGTACGAAGTTTCGTGTGTTGCAAATAAAAGTCCCTTTGGAGCGAATATGTGGGTTGTTTTCCTAATCATACAGATGAGTGCTTCGTTAACATGCTCAAATATACCTGAATTATCATTCGATTACAAAGATACAAAGTACCACTGAAGATCCAATTAATCTTAATGCAACTAAGGTTGCGAGGGCATATAAACAAATGTTCGGATTATGGTGATAAGATCGAATGCCAGCAGAAGCTCGCCCAACTATAAGGAAGAGATGAACACAGGTGCCCGCAATCAAGTAGATACCAAATGCCACGCAAGAGTGGGATAATGTCAGATAGCCAACACATGATGCGGTCGCTACCGGATTGGAATCCAGGTCCAGTATGGTCACTACCTTACGTAAAAAACCAACTTTCTTGTTACCAGTGGTAATTATAAACTGAAAGAACTTAACCTTGACGGGTGAGAACACGGAGTAAGCGCTTACTGGAGCTGGTTGTGGGCTGATTGATGGTTCCGGTGAAGGCGATGAGCGGTGCGCGGGCGCTGAGTAGTCTGGGGGGTCTGGATCGGTTCCCAAGTGGTTGCCGTGTTGAGATTCCATCAAATCGTCTGTTTGGGTTTGCTTGGCTGCTGTGCTTGTGAAGTTAATCAACGGATTGGTGGACAGTGATCGCCTCAGAGTCGTCCTACCGGAAGGCCCAGGACACAGTTCCCAGCTGCACAGACTAGACGGTAATGGTTCCCATCCCGAAAGCGGGCGATGAGGAGAACTGCAACGGGACAAAAAGTGTAAGGAAAATTCAAAGTTCCCAAGTGATTCTGACGCAAAAGATGATGTGCATGAGAAAGCGACAACACAACAGCATATATGGCTGCGGGGCAAATGGGCTATGATGAGGCACACAAGCGTAAAACAACTGTGGCTCATCGGAGCCAGTTCCAGATCTACCAGATGCAAGAAATAAACCCGGCTAGACCGCAACAAAGAGTAAGAGGTTCTCTGACATTCTGGAATGGTGGATGAAGCAAGTGATAAAAGCGAATGAATGCTTCGTAAATTCTTCATGATTTGAACTCAAGTCGTGTCTGAAAGCCCGAAACGATACGGATGTTAGAGTAGTAGAGAAGTTGTGTCAAACAGACGATTCGTCGTAGTTAAACTCAGTCAGATAGCAACCACACATTCAGGAAAGCGCTAGATGACAGTTTCATCCTACTCGTACTTGTCAGTATCCGTTGGATTCTGAGTCAGCGAATTATATCGCTGACCCATGGGTGACAGCGGCGGACCGTCATGACTAATTTCTAAATGCGACATAGCACAGATTATCCTCCACTGTCATACATGCTACGAACATGCAGAGGACAGAATTGACTCCTACAGCTACGACTACTGAGCCCCGCAATAGGACGAAACGGTCATCTAGCGCTCTCTTGAATATGTGGTGGCTGTTTGGCTGCGACTAATCGTTTCGAAAGAGACACGAATGCTGTCCGCAAGCAATGTCGTTGGGTTAAATGATACGGACTTGGAAAACCTTGGTTAATCGGCGTACGTCTTAATATGCAGTGAACACGAGGGGATTTAACAAGTTGTTACAACAAGAGGCTCGATGCACTTAGTCATTTGCAATATGTCGAAATACAGGTAGTTCTGGTCAGTTGTTGAGAGGTTTACTTGCTCACCGATCCATATGATTCGCTTACAGGCATTTTGACACTAACCGAGGTGACAACTTCAGGGCGTAGTAATCGTAGTAGTGGTAGCGGCTTTGCTGGTAAGCAGGGAGCTTCGAAGAAACCCAAGATTTGTTCGGTTGGTGGAGAAGCGTCTGTAAGCAAGTTGATGAGCCAGGCAACAAGTAAATATCTCAACATCTGATCGTGACAAGACTCGCAGAACTGACAGAGTGAGTCGGTACTTATAATGTGGTAGATGATCACTTAAAGAATGACGTACCCAGAAGCTGGCAAGAGTAAACTTGTGCTGTGGCTACGCGAAGACCAGATCTTCGTGGGAGATTGGAAAGAGAAGGCGAACTCCGTTTGGCATGCTTCGTCAACTGACGACAGGCATGTTGGACGCGATGAGTCAACTGTTGGTTCGGTGGAACAAGGGTCTGTATAACGAGTGACAGAGGGGTTTTCCACCGTAGAGAGGAGAGGAGAGATGGTGCTCCGGGACAGCTGAGTGTGCAAGAGAAATTTAGACTTTTCCTCGTGAATGATTCTGGCCAAATGTTCCGGCAGTTCGGCAGAGAGTTTGTCCAGATCATCTCGCGTGATGCATCCAGTCCGTGGTTGGGTCGATGTACCTGGTGATTCGTCCTCAACAGCTGCAGGATCTCCCAAACTCCACCTTGGCGCTCGGAAGACCTCGTCGAGTCCGCGGGGCACAAAAGAGTGGCAAAGAGCGTCCATCGAAGGCGAATCGGCACGTGCATACGCAAGTGGTCGTTGGTCAGAAGGGCTACCGGAAGTACCGCTAAAGTGCTTCGTCCTCAGCTCCGGCACACGCATCTCGCCCTCATCCTCGTGTACCTCCGCCAGTTTCTGTGTTGTTTGGATAAAAGTCTCTTTTGGACGAGTGCGGGATGCTAGACGGACGGATGCTGGTGAGTGAACCAACCGATCCAAATGCGGTTCGGACCTGGAACCCATATGAGACTGTCGCCGGGGACCACTGTCGAAGAACTTGGGCTCCAACCGACCAGCAGTGGACACACCCGAGCGCGCATCGGATGACTGGCCGTCGGAGTCGAGGTTGTTAAGGGTGCGACAACTTCCAAGTAGTGTAGATTTGGTATGCTGTGTGTCAGGGGAAACGTAAATGATACGTTCGAGTTGTTTGTAGGAGAAGTGAACAAATTGAATATGAAGTGAGACGTAAAACGAGAGGCAGGTGGGAACAGCGAACACAATACACACATAACATTTGATGTAAACATAGAGAATGAAAGAGAGCTCAAGGTTGTGCAGATGGCAAACAATACGTAAGCGGTCCTGGATGTAGGTCGGATAGCGGAGTCGAAAACTAACCTGGAGTCGGAGTGCCCGGATATTTCAGGCAATGTATACACTCACATTCAGTAGAGTGGTAGTCTCGTAAGCAACTTTGCGTCATGGTGTACGACAAAAAAAATATCGCCGGCAAGTTGTTGGAATCAGCCACACCACCGGAGGTAGATGTGAGCCATACCGGTATTCAACTCATCACAAGGGAAGCAGACCCAAATGGACTTCGCTCTTGAATCATGATGGTTCACTAGACAAAAGGCTCACTTGACACCATGAATCTCCCTGATCTGGAGGATAGGAGAATTCGTTTGGTAAACGGAAAGCGATAGCTTTCCGAACAAGCAAAACTTAGGCCAAAAACACTGCGCTCCATGACCGGTTTCGAATTTATTTGGTCGCATGTATGGAACCCGAGACCATTGAGATGTTAGTGTGGACCTCTACTCGTTTAAGATACCGAATCACGAAGGACAACGCTTGCCACAACAGTTACCGACTGGTTGTTGGGCCATTTTGTAATACGCAATGGTTACTCACTTCATTCACCAGCGCAGTGAGTGAAAAGAGGGAGATTCACTTCGAACTAAATCCCACATCAAGCCGCGTACGGCCATTTAAACACATAGTCACGATCGCAGTGAAAAGCGTGGATCGGGGTATGGTAAAGACAAGTTGGAAGGGTCTGCCAAAATGCAATGATTCCTCGGATGCGAGTCGCAGCCTAAGGTAATTCTACCGGTCGTGGAGCAAGCAGTGCGTAACATCTGTCTAACTCCAAGGGATTGCAGTTGGTAAAAAGCCCCACGTGTTACGTAAAGCAGTTGTAAGGCATTCGCAATGCATGGAACAATTAGGCGAGTCCGGCCGCTACGGTGGAAGAAGTTGTTGTGTAGCGCTTTTCACAATAGGGTGAATGGTTGTAAGACAGCTTGTTGTTGAGGAAGCTGTTCGAAACCTTTTTAATTTTGTCATTTACTTAACACAAGAACGCCCGTAGCGAGCATTTTGACCGCTAAGGGTTGCGACGGATGCGTTGTTTCTACTTCCGTAAGCACCTTTTAAAGAGATTTCAGGAGGTTTAATATCTATATTAGTACATTACTAGCTGATATAATTTTCAAGAAAAACATTAGTCGTTGTTCTGCTACCGCGTCTGACTGCCGTAGGGCCGCCCCTTGTCTCGGCTCTCGCTTCCCTCTCTGTGGTCACTCCAGTCGTCCACCACACACATTCTTGTGCGTGTGCTCGTTCGAACCAGTTCGACGAGCGCTACTCAGTGCTTTCCATCTCTTGGATCTAACTTGTGTGGATCATACTGTTACTCCCGTTCTCAGTTTCGGCACATTCTTCGTCGAGTTCTGCTTGTGAAATCACATCACTCCCGAGCTTTTCGAGAATAATTTTGGTCTCATTCGGTAGAAGAAGCTGAGGACTCTCAAACGACCCTGCAACCATCCCTACAGGCGGCAGCATAACAAAGTTACGAGACGGAGGGTTTCGATGTGGCTGTCTCCTATCCCTGCACTCCACGACCGACGGTTTCGTCTTTGTTTAGACTCATCAGGTAGAGATAGCTGAGCTAGGAGTGGAACCCGAGGCATAGTGCTTGGCGGCTATCGTCATGATCACTAGGCCATTGAGTTCCGCGAGCAGTGTTTGACACAGCGGTTAAAGTAGGTTTTCGGGTTTTTTGGAGCACCCGCCGTGTGTTACGAGACATTTTGCTTCCTTCAGCTACTAAACATCGCGTCCGAGGCACAGGGTAGTTTGCCAACGCCCCGCGTGCGTCGTCGTGTAATGCGACCCCATCAATACACGCTACGCCTTCATGTGCTTGTGTGCGCACCGCTGAATCCCACTATCTGCGCGCGACCGCAAGAGTGAGACATTGAGACAGCCACTGTCTCGGCGGGCTGACCTTGACGCCGGATCAATCAATCCAGGGTCCTGGGTAGGACTAACCATCACACATTCACGTGCCTTGATGAGTGCAAATAACCGAGCCGCGGTGCCTAAAGATGCCTGTGGAACGTGCAATAAGATGGTCAAAATAGGAATTTTCTGTGGAAATTGCCAAACCTATTTCCATGCGAAATGCGGGAAAATCACACCAAGCGAGTGCAGGCTGATCAGCAGCAGGCCTGACTCATTTTGGTTCTGTGTGAAGTGTAATACTGTCCCACTAATTAAAATCGTAATTGCACTGTCCCAGGAATATGAAAGGCTTACAGACGTAGTTGAGATGCTGGGCACAAAAATAACTTAGGTAGGAATAAGCATAACAGAATGTCTGACAATCCCCTCCACCGAACGCCATTGCAAGCCAAATCAACACAATGCTGAATGCTACACTAATAAAGTTGCTCCTGCAAATACTGCCAATAATCCAAATCGCCCAAGCATTTCCGAACACTTCACCCCCAGCCCATTTACAGCAATTTCCCACAAATCCACTTCCTCCCATGAGACTTCACCGAAATCCAAGAAACGTGCAAATATCTGTGGCAGCTGTGCCATTGTTGCATCAAGGTGCACTCCAAAATCAGACGCTGTTGTTTCTATAATCACACCTATAACTAATGTGAAAGGCAACGCTGCACGGATACACAGCAAATCGCTGGGTCTCCCAACTACGGTCCACACTCCCAAGAAAGACACTCAGAAACAACTGGATTCCATATGTATAATATGTATCAACTTTACTGGGTCAACATTGAATTCTTCGAAGGAGAAACAGGTGGATGACCAGAAGTAATGGAATGGTATTTTGACTGAACCCTCCAACTTGACGAGGAGCACACGACACCCAAATTTCAAGCATTAGGGCGAAGCCAGAATTCTTCAGGTTGTGCGAACCTCTGTCAATGAGGCGGAAGCAGCGTTGCTTCCGAATGCTCGTTTCCAGAACGAAATCTGTCTGGTCCGCGTCTTTCAAGACGTTCCCAGGAGCGGGTGCAAGCGAGCAAGGCAGAGTTTAGAAGAGTTTCGGCTGTTACAGCCAGAACCTTTTTGTTTATGGAGTCCCCAGTCTCACGAGCATGATGAATGCGAAGCAGAGGCAAACTAGCAGGAGCAGTGGCGCTATATCCGTGAGACCCTGTTCTTGAATGACGTTGTCGCTAGTTCTCTCTCGAGGCTGCCAAGATCAGAAAGCTACAAAGGGTGCGGCCCAAGGATACTTAAGGTTGTATTACAAACTAGGCAGATGGCACTTACGCTACTGGAACGCTGGCATTCACTTCGGAACAGATTACCAACCGAACTCCGGTTCAAAGCGGTGAGTGAAACTGTCGTCCGACTTAAAGCACCATCATAGCAGGCAAACGAATCAGTGATCTTATCCGAAGCTCACACCGGAAGCAAGTTTGAAAGAAGTGAGGATCTTTCTGTGCAATCCTGCAGCCACTCCCCATGCACTGTGCAAACTGAGTTGTCAGAGAAGCTAAGCACAATGCCACTGAACACAACTCCAAGTGACGCACCGATAGTACCACAAAAAAGGTCCAGCGGCCGATCATGCAACGGTTGGCACAACCTCATCCTAGCCACAAGTGCCTCGGATTGTTGCTGAGAACCGAAATACTTTCTTGCATGTACACGAATGCCCAAGGCCTCCTCAGCAAAATCGCCGGGCTTCGGTTGCGCCAGTCAACAAAGGCTTGGGATCTCATCTCCATAACCGATACTTGGTTGTACTCAGGGATTACGGATGCCGAGATCGCGACTGCGGGTATGTTCTTGTTCGGACACGATCGTCCCAGCGGGGGAGGTGGTGCTATCCTATACTATCGTAACGACTTACAATGCGAACCACTGGATGATCCGGAGACGCGGGTCACCGATTCGCTATGGTGCCGTTTACGTCTCAGACACAATGACAACTGCTTCTTGGCAGTCCTATATCGTTCCCCAGCGTCCACTTCAGAGATGGATTCCCACCTAATATCATCACTGAGGAAAAACTTACTCCCAAGTTACAGCTACGTTTTTATTTCTGGCAATTTCAACAAGCACGACTTGGAAAGCTCGGCATCCCCCGGAGAGACATACAAGGCCGAGCTGCAAGAGCTTATCGCAAGTATCCGGCTATACAATCACATCAGCTCATCTACCAGGTGAAGAGCTGGTAACAAACCATCGGGACTTGACCTTATCCTTACAAATGAGGAAATCATGATCGACAGGCCATTTATAGACACCCCACTACGGTTAAGCGATGATGTCACCATACTTTATAACTATGCGTGTTACGCTGAATAGCCTGAGGAACACATACAACTAACACGTACTAACACACATTACAACATCTTGAACAACCTGGTTGAGACGACCGATTGGGAATTCTTGAAAAGTGATTTATCTGACGGCGAGTAAATTCAGTTTGTTGGACGCTTCAGCAATCTGATTGCAACTGCTTCAGAAACAAAGAAAGTTCCCTCCACAAATTCATCGTTTTTCATCAGAAGTAGAACTCACAACCGCATGTCAATAAGGAATGCAGCTTGGCACACTTACAGAGTTCGTCCTTGTCCCGAAACCTGAAGCGATTAGGTGACGCAGCGCAACCACTGTAACATGCTTGTCCGTGAGGACAAATTGACTCGCCAACAACATTTGGCCTGCAAATTTGCCACCAACAAAAGCTCCTATACAAGCATGTTTACACCATCCGGAAAGTGAAGTTCGGTATCCCCTACTTAACACGCAAGTCGGAGTGGCACAGAGTCCCGAAGAGGCAGCCAACGCCCTACGAATGCAGTATGCCCCAACCTTCCACAGAGAGATTCGCCAGTGTTACATACCCACATCCTTATCACCAAATTCAACACTAAATAATATCGATTTTACTGCCACAGCTGTGTTGAAGAAGCTGCTCTCACTACGCACCTACAGCTCTCTCGAAGTCGATTATATTTACCCAAGGGCGCTGAACACAGCAGCAACAACGCTGGTCGGGCCATCATCGCATTTCTAGCAAACGTGCTTGGATAAACAAATTGTGCCTACCATGTAGAAACATGGCTTAATCACTTCAATTTTCAAAAGCGGTAATTTCTCGGAACCCGCCAACTATCGCCCAGTGATCCTCCTCGCTGTGCTCTCAATGGTCATGGAGGCAACCATCGCTGAAGCTTTAGTAGACCATCTAGAACGCCACATCATCATAGCACCCGAGCAACACGGTTTCCGCCAGCACCGTTCATGCACTATCAACCTATTGATTGCACACAGTAGTTGGACGGAAGCGGTAGAGGACAGACGTCATTTACCTCGACTTCTAAAAAGCCTTCGACCGACTGGACCACAGCATACTGTTTCACAGACTCGAAAGTTATGGAGTTGTTGATCCTGTCTTTGGGTGGACCAAGATTTTCCTACAGGATCGGCAAGTGCAGGTCAAAGTTCGAATTACGCTGTCCGATCCGATTTATGTCGAATGTGGGGTTCCACAAGGATCAGCTCTGGGGCCGCGTCTGTCTCTCGTGTTCACTAACGAGCTTACACATTTGATTGCTTCAGATTCCTTGATGTTCGCTGACGATGTTATGATGTGGCGGACAATCGCCGACCCAGCAGATCACGATCCACTTCAGCGAGACCTGGACAGAGCGTACGGGTGGTCACTCCACAATCTCCTCCAGTTCAATTCGGGGAACTATAAGGTGGTTCACATTCACCACCAGCCGAACATCACATACAAGCTTGGAGATTGTCCTGCAAGCAGTCACCCAGGAGCGCGACCTTGAGGTGCTACTTCAGGCCGATCTGGTCTGCTCAGGAGGATCTGAGAAGGTGTCAAAGACCGAGAACCAACAAGTTAGCATGCTGCGGAGGGCATTCGGGCGGTTTGATCATCTATATGTTCGCAGTTGCTTAACACCTACGTGCGGCTTAATGTGGAATACGTAATCCAGGCCTGACAGCCCTGGCACAAGCAAGAGCTAGCGGCGCTCGAGACACCACAGCGACGAGGCAAGAAGCACGTCAAAGGGTTGTTCAATCTTCCCTATCAACTTCGACTGAGGATCCAGAAATTATACAGTCGCCGGTGCCGGCGCCTACGTGGCGACCTTATTATGGCCTACCTGATTCTAAGAAATCGCAACCACGTCTGCCGTCACCTACTACAACCGAGCCACAACACGAATTTGAGGGGCCACCCGTTCAAGTTAGCCACGCAATACAGTCGGCCAGAATGTCGACGGAACTTTTACTCTCTTCTCGTGTGTCGGCCTTGGAACGCCCTTCGAAACTAGGTTATTTCCACCCACACTTTACCTGTGTTTTAAAAACGTCTTGATGTTGCTCTAACCCAACTACAGTACGAGATATAGCATGTATGTCTCGACAGATGATATAATGCGACGAAGGTTGCAAAACCAGAATTAACCTAAATCACTGTGGTTGGCTCTTTCTGCATGCCTCTGTGTTAACACTGTGGTTCTTTTTGGCCATCCTACGGGACTTGGTAAGTATGCGCTATTTTGTCCGTAATATACCATTGTTCCGTTGTAAGCGATCACAGTGGCCATATACCTGATCTGGTTTTAGTCTTCCTATCCAAGTGGAATTATATTTAAGACAATGGGCGGTCCCTTGTACCAAGCCTGAGTTTGATAAATATTGAGCTCTAGCTATCGGTGCCTTTGGATGTATCGCGCGGAACGTGACAACTGGATCTCCAGTGTTAGTTAAGGCTTACGGTCAAGAGCACGAAGGCAAAGAAATCGTTAAATGAATAAATGTACTGCTTATAAATGTGATATACATTCGTAAGGTGCCATAATGATGACATTAAATGGGCTGACTATTGCAAGCCGAAAGTCTGTGTGCAGAAGGGAGCCGAATTAAAAGGCTTGAAGTTGGAAGGAGTCAGAAAAGTCTCCTAGCAAGCAATTTCAATGGAAATATAAATGACCAAGAATCTGGTATGCTACCAGGTGTCTCTGAGTGCAGACGTTAAGCGGAAAGAGTATAAGAGGAAGCAGACTAAAAAGATAGCACTCACGGAGCAATGGTGGCCACTAGATCCAATCCAGGGAGCGAACAGCGAGTGCAGTATGTTGTCACCTGCATGTGAAAACGTCAAAGAAATTGAGATATCAGATGGCATGAGAGAGAAAAATCGATGTATTCGAGGTATACCCTCCGGTAATGATGGTGACATACAGTTCATCGTGTAGGCGGCTTGCTCACGGTAGTGTGTACATGCGAAAGACTAAGCGTCAACTCAAGCCAAGAGAGGGGCACTGAAACGGATGGGAAATATCCATAGAAACATCGTACCATTGAAAAAAGTGAAATCCGCAAACAAAAGCAAGTTGAGCCTCTCCCCAAAACCATGACCGAACGGTAAGCTGCAAAATCAGCGTGGTGTTCGAAGATGCGAAACGACGCATATGTGATTTGTGATCGCCAAAGCGGGTTTGTCAGGAGGAACACTGTCAAGTCAATTCAAAAAAATGCTTTATGCGCCTCGGGATGGAAGAACATTCGGTTGTAGCATACATACATACCTTCAGCAATGTAGCATGATAAAAAGACATCTCAACAAGTGGACTGACAAATGGAAAACACTATGCCTTAAGAGCGTAAATTGTCCGGTTAATTCTCGGACGACTTTGTTAGGGTATAGCAAAAAACGCGCTAGATAAGGAAAAACTGACGAACAGCAAGCTGGTGTTCGGGCATAAATAGACTTGTAGTTTTTTTCTAGTTGAAAAAGTTGATACACAATCCAATAGAAAGAAAGGGTTGGCTTGCGTCAGTAAGTATGGTTGACGCCAACCTCCTGCAAGAACTACCATGAGTGGACACAGGTAGATCAAGAAGTCAGTTTTGTCAAACCGCTACATCGTAACCGATGTTCATGACCCTTTGGTCACTGGTGACGGCGTCGTGGTCAGGACGCTTTGTGAATTAGATTTTTACTGAAATACGACACCGTCTGCGTTGCTGTTCGTGAGAATGCGTTGGGAGCAATCCAGCAATTTATTGATCACCTACTCCGCACCACCTTGAACGAGCTTGTGATCGGCTCATGTGATACTGACTCGTCCGACTAGTTGACTATACTCTTCTGCATTTTGCCTCCTGAACCAGCTTTGTTATCACATCCTTGCAACCTTCAACAACATTGTCTAATGCCCGGTAATTTTGTTCGCTGTGCACGGTGCGAAACACGACAGTCTATTTTTTTCTAATCGTACAAGGGTCGTCAAGACTACAGTGTACGATTGCCATCCATCTTTCCTCATCGGTGTTCCACTTTGTGCCCCATGTACCCTTTACTAGATCATACAATAATAATAATAATAATAATAATAATAGGTATGATTCCCATGATACAAGAAACGGTGTGCATTGGTGTGTGCACCAACAATCAATCCGTGCGAAAGTAACCATGCTCCTGCATGGGCGAAACGCATATGTACAAGGTTGGAGCATGAGATTCACAAGGTAATCGCTCCCGCTTAAAAGCTGCATACCGCTTGTCGGTAAATATACTAATTTATTTAGTGGTAATACCGATTTAGTGAGTGACTGAGGCGAAAGCCGGGATTTGCAAACATGGACACAGATATAGGTCGACCCTTCTTGGAATAGTTGAACGATGGATTTTTCCCATGTGAATATAGTCAATATCGTGTTCAGGTCAACTTGCGAGTTTACCATTAAATGTTGCCGCATTGTCACATCATCTGAGTTTGGTTGGCAGTTAATTTACAGATAGGTATTTCTGTTCAGAAAGATATTTCGCAAAATCAGTGTATAATCTTTGTCGCGAAGCTCACGAGTTCAGCGATGTTGCAGTTCGAGTGTAGGCAGATTGTAATTTTCAAATTAATTTTCTTCATAAATTTGAAAAGCGGGGAAAGAAGACGAACACTGGTAGATGCAAGCATTTCGTATTGTCTCTTCAGTATCATTAATAATAATAGATATGCCTAGATAGAGCTGACACTGGGTGTGACCAGACATAAAAGAGGAGCAGAATGAGTGACGGAAGTTCACAACTATGTCCACGGCAGTCTTAAGCTGACAAATAATCGTTTTTGAACGCACAGGGCTGGCTTCATCCGGCTTATTGCGACCGCCTCAACAAACCGAAGGAAGCGTGAATTAGCGTGACACAACACAACCGTGAACGCTGAGTTCAGCTCTATCCGGTGACCCGAGACCAATAGATGTTTACTTATCGAAGAAGCTGGCGGCCTACACAAGCACCGGGATTGAGGGAGGTAGGGAGTTTGGGCGATTTCGTGCCGGCACATGTTCCTTTTTAAGTGGGGATCATCGCGGCCAGTTTCGAAATCAAATAGTCGTCCACATGCCGGGAAGAGCATTAGACTGCAGTTTCAGCCTGTTGGGCATCGTCAATAGTGCGCATCCATCGGATCAATCAGAATTCGAACCCATGACCACCAGCGGTTTGAACCGCCAGTCAGCAGCTTATGCCACTGGGCCAAGAGGGACAGCTTCAGACCGTCATGATTTACAAGCTAACTGCGATATAACGCGTCTTATCCTCCACTGTTCCTTTATTCGGGAAGTCAGAGTTCTATCAGTTATGCCTATATAAATGCTTCAGCAAACACAGTGTGAGTTGGCCCCGATAAGCTGAATTCCCTTCGTTGGAGGGACTAGCAAACTTCGGGTTCGGTTGATTACAGCAATTTCAGCAGCGCAGTAACTTCCCTGAGTAGCGCATATTAGTCGCTTGGTCGTCTCTAGCGTGGCAAAATCACCTCCGATAAGTAACAATATAAACTTCCTTCTTGGCTACCGTGTGTACCAAGTCCCTTGGTCCACGCAGCTGGCTGAGTTTATCGATAAAATTTCGAGAATAGCTGTTCATTCCCAGTTTTTGTACTTAAGGCTAACTCATCGGTCAGACAGTCGGCTGAGTAAATTGGTCTGGGCCAACTAACTACGGTCTTCACAAGTGTCCTTTTGTATCATACTGGTGTGAAACTGGTGAAGTGCAAGTACTTGGCGGACCGAGTTGATTCTCGATAAACGGACCTCTTAATCAATCCATCCACCCTGCGGCTGATGAGGATGTCCAGATTTGGTAGGCAATTATGTAGTTTTACTTCAAACGTGCACCGTTAAGGTGCTCCACCAACTGCGAGAGCTGCCGCCCAGACAAACAAAAAGCCAAGATTTCATCAACATAGCGTTTGTAGTAGGACACCTGGGCTATTTCTGTCGAAACGTTTCTTTCTGTCATCAACATGAAGAAATCCGTGAGTACAGGATCTAATGGGCCACCTATAGGAATATGACTTTGGTGTGGTAAGTTGCAAAGCAGCAGCAAGTTATGATTCAATCGTCACATGCAGTGGTTTGAAGTGAAGCTACTTAAAATGCTCTAGATAATTCGTGGCAGAATGTTTACTAAGCATATGATTTGTAAACGACCTCCGCAGGTGTACCACAGCAAACCTATCACTCTTTCTCATGTTGTCATATAGTATGCTACGGTACTCGAGATGGGTAGCTTAAGTGCTCAACTCTAGTATGGGTTGTGTGGAGTTCGTTAGATATATTAAACATAGATTGTCTGGCACGTGCTATTTGGCATTAGGCTTGCTCGGAGAAATTGTAGGGACATGAGTACCTAATTCCGCGATCACACATGGACACCTGTGCAAGGACATGTCGTCCTTTGTTTAGTGCAATAGATCCTTCGGGGATGCAGCAGGCATATGACATGACGCTTGATTTCTTAGTCGAGTGGTTCATCATCCACATGTGGCATCACATGGCTCAAGGAAATATAAGTCATCATGAATGAGCAGTAACATTCCGTGAAGTTCGTCACATCGAATTTTGTAGACGATCTTGGTCTTGTCGTGGAATAAAAGTGACCGGCCATATATTACAGATATGCTGTCATTGATGCAGAGCAGGAACAGGGAATAACCGAGCACTCTCCCTTGGATGACTTCATTGGTGATAAGGTGTACAGAAAAACAATGGTCACTATTAGTGACTACCTAAGGGCGACCAGTCAGATAAGACGATAGCCAACCTAGCAATGGGTCACGGATCATAAATGCATCTAACTCTTTTAACTACCGCTTGTGAGGTACTCGGTCGAATACTTGGTAGATGTCTAGAAACAAAATTACTTCTATATAGCCGGAATGGACAGATTCCGAAATTTAGTTAAGGTAATGCAATTGACAAGTGGTGCATGACCACTTGTCAAGAAAGCCATACTGTGACTCAGTTATCAATCCCAAAGAATTGACGAAGTTCATCACGCACTTCTCGACCAGTTTTTCAAACGACCGGATGACTATTGGAGTGTGGTGGATTGGCTAGTGGTTCCCAGTCTTTTGTTGGGGACCTCCCTTGTGATGAGGGTATGATAAGCGCCCTTTTTCCAATGAACTGTACCAGCGTTCATCAGGAAGAGTGACAAGTGGTGGATGACAGAATACCATTAGAATCCAGCTTATATCGTGGTTTGATTGAGTAAATAAATTGTTGGATACAGATAGGCGAAATAGCAACTCTTCGTAAGATATTTGTTAATGCAACATCTGTATACACAGGTAGGTGGTCATTTCTGAGACTCATGGAATTGGCGAAGTAGTAACTGGATGCTTCACAGATTGCAGGTAAGCGGGAGGGGGGAGAGACAACGAAACTCATTACACAAATGCCATCGAGATAAGCTCTTTGCCATGTCAACAAGTGTATCCAACCAAACGTGTTTATCATCTTTCGGGCTCAAACCGACGCTAAGTTCGAAGTGAGTTCATTTTTCTTGACCACATCATCCCTTGGCCTTCCCTCCTCGTACGGTGGTATGCTTCAACACACGTTGTCAAACTACCGTGCAACGCCACTTACCCTACTGCTCTCCAGCACCGATTTACCGAAGATGATCCTTGAGCTTTTTAGCCTACTTGCTTGTTGCGAGTAGTATACGATACCCCCAGAGTTTCCAAAATTCTCAGCCCGAGAGGCAGCTTCACTGGAGGGCCTCTAAGGCTTCCATACTGCTGGACCAACAGACTAATCTGATGGTGTTTAGCTTAGTCGCTTGACTTTGC